GTGGTTTCAAAAAAATAATAATCCTGTACACATTATACCTGGAAAAGAGACTTTGTGTACTGAAGTACTGTTATGTGCTAGGTGACCTGGGACAGGGTTGTTTGATGTACATAGCTAAGTGAAATTGTTAATGAATGAAAAATAAAAACCTGGTGCTGTTTCTGATCAATGCTTTAGATGTAATGAAGAATTTTAATGCTACAGGATTAGTTTGAGACAATTCCGTAATGAAAAATGTCTCGTAATTTTGAATGGATTCCTTTCCTTTTTCATCAGAATAATGTTCTATGCACAAAGCAATGCCTATAGAGAAATGTGTGATGTGGAAGAGATTGATGTGCCAACTCAAAGGCCTGCACTCAACTCAATATTTCACCTTTGGAATCAAACTGAATTCAAGATGTTAGCCAGGAATAATGGATCATCATCTGTGCCTGACCTAACTAATGCTCACATTGAGTAACAAAAGCAATTCCTCAAAGCAATATTCAAAAATCCAGTGGAAGCCTAAAGAGAAGCGATAGAAACATAGAATGTGATGGCAGATAAAAACCATTCAGCCCATCTAGTCTGCCCAATATTCTAAATACTTTCATTAGTCCCTGGCCCTATCTTATAGTTAGTATAGCCTTATGCCTATCCCACATAGGCATGGTTAAACTCCTTTACTGTATTAACCTCTACCTCTTCAGCTGGAAGGCTATTCCATTCATCCACTACCCTCTAACTAAAGTAATACTTGCTGATGTTATTTTTAAACCTTTGCCCCTCTAATTTAAGACCATGTCCTCTTGTTGTGGTAGTTTTTCTTCTTTTAACCCCTTAAGGACACATGACATGTGTGACATGTCCTGATTCCCTTTTATTCCAGAAGTTTGGTCCTTAAGGGGTTAAATATAGTCTCCTCTTTTACTGTGTTGATTCCCTTTATGTATTTAAATGTTTCTATCATATCCCCCCGTCTTGTCTTTTCCAAGCTATACATATTAAGTTCATTTAACCTTTTGAAAAGAAAAATGACTAGGAGGTCAGAAAAATACTGACCTGATAGTCAAGGGTTGGACTATATGGGCAAAAGAAGGGGCATAACCCCATATATTAGTATAACAGAAAAAAGAGTTCCTGTGTATCTGTATGATGGAAAGAAGGGCCCAAAGTTGCCACAGGTTTTGCCCATGCAGAGGTAAACAACTCAAAAGTTAGGTAATATAATATGTTAAAAAGAGAGAACCTTTATTGCGTCATCTGACATTTAAAAAAACTAGACATGCTGGCTCTCCTATTTACCATTGCTCTCGAAAAAGGCGCAGCAAAGCACCAAAACGTGCGTCGAGCGGATGACGCTGCACTTAAGCTTCATTTTATTTTAAATTCAGGAATTCTGACGGAGCCTAGCTATTTCTATACTACCTAATGCTATGTGATTTACCTTAACTCCTGGGCTATCTCTAGGGATTATAGACTATCTATTTGATATGTATATATGATATTTGCTATTTAGCACAGCGGTTTAGATTTGACAGACACCTTTGGCTTTCCAATGCAATGTTGCTGATCTAGCAGCTTTAAGCCGACACCTAACATCTCTGCAGCAGTCAGGATTAGATTGAAGTTGTAGCACAGTACTAAGTGTCTAATTGGGAAACTGTTTTCATTTTTCGTATTACATATACTTTGTGACTTGATTGAGCTACATTATAATAAGACAGGCTCAGCTGCAGCACTGATTCTGTGATATCTAATGGCACTACCCTTACCCGGGCTATGGTTTATGGATCACAGATCATCCACTTGATATTCATATATGATATTTGAGTCTTAGCACAGCGTCTTAAGACCTGACAGACACCTTTTGGTCCTTTAATATAATGCAGCCGATTTAGCAGCTTCAACTAGACAGCGAGTGTTCCTACAGCAGACAGGATTTGTCTGAATTTGTAGCACAGTATTAAGTGTCTAATTGTGAAACTGTATCTAATTTTCGTTTTCCAGATACTTTGTCACTTGATTGAGCTACATCATTATTAAGACATGTCCTGCTGTAGCATTGATATCTAACGGCATAATTTTTTAAGCCATATTTGAACTGCTTGAGGGACATGGAGGTCCACTATACTCCTTATATTTTGGAGGATATAGTATCCTACTGGGGAAACTGCACGTTCTCTTCACCTAGTGGGGCAACAATCTCCTTTTTCTGCACCCATCTAGATTTTTGACTGCCACTCCCAGATACTACCCAACATATTCTATAATTTTATATCTAGGGGCTTTCTTAAAGAGACAGGGTTTGTCGCTTCACCTCCTGCCCACTCTACTTTGTTCTGTCTAGTCACCTATCTCTAACCCTTGCATGTACATAGTATAAGGAAATTCTAAAAGGATACTATTTGTTACCTCCTTTTTATCTATATGCCATTCATTTCCTTTGTATAGTTATCTACTCTTACCTATACATATGTTGAGCCACTATATCTTTTGAGTAGCGATTTTTCTAGATCCACATGACTTCAAATGTATTCTACATTATGTTTGTTTAGCTTTAACAGATATATAGATACATGCAAAGATACTCTAACGCTAGTGATGTCCCGAATGGTTCGTCGAACGGTTCGCCACGGATGGCGAACATAAACATAAACTTTGACCCTGTACCTCACAGTCAGCAGACACATTCCAGCCAATCAGCAGCAGACCCTCCCTCCCAGACCCTCCCACCTCCTGGACAGCTCACTAAGAATGCAGCTTCACAATGAATGTAAAATGGATGCTGTCCAGGAGGTGGGAGGGTCTGGGAGGGAGGGTCTGCTGCTGTTTGGCAGGAATGTGTCTGCTGACTGTGAGGTACAGGGTCAAAGTTTATGTTTATGTTCGCTGTCTGCGGCGAACCGTTTGGGACATCCCCATCTACCGCATATGCATATTCATATATCTGAACAGCAGCCTTCGAACAAAACTTTACTTTAAATGGTCAGATGTTGGATCTATTATAGTAGGCTCCGTTAGACCTCCTTTTTTCACCAGCACACATTGCACTGATTTTGTATGCTCGCTATTTTTTGTGTTGAAACTAGATATCTGAAGGCAACTTTGGGCCCTTCTTTCCATCATACAGATACACAGGAACTCTTTTTTTTTATGTTCCTTTAACCTTTCCTTGTAAGTTTTATCCTGCAATCCATGAACCAGTTTAGTAGCCATTCTTTGGACTCTCATTAAAGTATCAATATCCTTCTGGAAATACGGTCTCCAGTACTGCATACAATACTTCAAGTGAGGTCTCACCAGTGTTCTGTACAATGGCATGATCACTTCCCTCTTTCTACTGCTAATACCTCTCCATATATAACCAAGCATTCTGCTAGCATTTCCTGCTGCTCTATTACATTGTCTGCCTACCTTTAAGTCATCCCCTAAATCTCTCTCCTCAGATGTTGAGGTTAGGACTCTATCAAATATTCTGTACTCTGCCCTTGGGTTTTTACATCCAAGATGCATTATCTTGCACTTATCCATGTTAAATGGCAGTTGCCACAACTCTGACCATTTTTCTAGTTTACCTAAATCATTTGCCATTTGACTTATCCCTCCTGGAACATCAATCCTGTTACATATCTTAGTATCATCAGCAAAAAGACATGCCTTACCATCAAGACCTTTTGCAATATCACTAATGAAAATATTAAAGAGAATGGGTCCAAGTATAGATCCATGAATTACCCCACTGGTGACAAGCCCATGCTTCAAATATACTCCATTGACTACAACCCTCTGTTGCCTGTCACTCAGCCACTGCCTTACCCATTCAACAATATTGGAATCCAAACTTAAAGATTGCAGTTTATTGATGAGCCTTCTATGTGCAACAGTCTCAAAAGCCTTACTGAAATCTAGGTAAGCAATGTCTACTGCACCACCCTGATCTATTATTTTAGTTACCCATAACTCTAGCATGTAAGCTCATTGAGCACGGCCCTCAACCCCTCTGTTCCTGTGTGTCCAACTTGTCTGGTTACAACTACATGTCCATTCGTCCACTCATTGTAAAGCACTGCGGAATTTGATGGCGCTATATAAATAATAACATAATAACAAAATAATATTACTTTCCAAACTACTAAAGTAAGGCTTACTGGCCTATAGTTGCCCGACTCCTCCCTACCACCTTTCTTGTGAATGGGCACAACATTAGCTAACTTACAATCTTCTGGGACTACTGCTGTTAACAATGATTGGTTAAATAAATCTGTTAATGGTTTTGCTAGTACACCACTAAGCTCTTTTAATAACTTTGGGTGTATTCCATCAGGTCCCATTGACTTATTTGTCTTTACTTTTGACAGTTGAAATAGAACCTCTTCCTCTGTAAACTCACATGTAACATGACTAATTTGTCCTTTTTCCTAACTGAGACTGCTTTCCTTCATTTTCATCTGTAAATACTGAACAAAAATATTAATCAAGGCAGTCAGTTAGACCTTTATCCTATTCTACCAACCTTCCTTCTTTTGTTTTGTTTTTTAAAATTCTTTATTTTTGCAGTGCGTAGATAATACAAACAAGCTCGTATCGCCACAACAGCTGGTACGGGCTAAAGTGGTACAATAAGAAACAGTGTCTTGGCGTGCGGGAATGGCACAATTTTTGTTAAAATATGCATGTTGAGTAAATATGTCTAAGAACATTTGTAAATAAGTATTAATTGTACATATTAATCAGGAAATTCTGTGGTCTAGATAATACAAACAGTCTTACGATATAAACTACCCAGACTTATGTTAGTTATTTAGAAGCTTGGTTTACTATTTGTACTGGAGGCAGTTAAAAAGAGTAGAAATATTACAAGCCGTATACTGTGCTCCTAGGGGCTTCTCGCGGGCGGTTATGCAATTATGTGAACATGAGATAAACATTTAACGCATATGGGGATAACCAGAAGAAAGAAAAAGTACTTAAGTTGCAGAAGGTTCTATAGAATATTGTGGTATTCTGTGAGCAGTTCACGACCCTGAGGGTGACGATGGGTTTCCTCGGAGGGCCGCGGGTACGAGTGGGCGCACCTTCTCTGGGTCCCAGTGAGTGGTAGTGGAGGGTGACGGCTGAGATGATACTGCAATCTTTTGCTCAGGCAGTCCAAGGGTCTGCACTATACAAGGTATTTCAGCGGCGTTGGTGAGTTTCAGGTCGCCATGTTCCTGTGGTATGATTAGGCTTCTCGGCGCTCCCCAGCGGTACGGTATTTTACGGGCAATTAGTTCCTTCGTCAGTGGGCGTAGTGAGCGTCTCCAATCCAGGGTAGCTCTGGATAAGTCAGGAAAATATGTTAACGAGTGTTCCTCAAATTGCAAGGGTGACCTGTTGCGGATGGCCGCCATGAAGGCCAGTCGGTCCTGGCTCTGCTGGAAGCGGATGATGTTGTCCCTGCTGGTGCTCTGGGTGCTTGCGGCTGGTTTGGGGATTCTGTACCATCCATCAAGAGGCATCGCCTTGGCCTGTTTGGCGGGAAATAAAGCAGTGAGCATCCTGCAAAATAGGTGCGGACGCTCCGCAGGCGCTAGTGTGTCAGGCAGGCCTCTGATTTTAATATTCTTCCAGCGCCTTCTGTCTTCCATTACTGACAGATCTTCTTTAGCTTGTGTCTGGTCTCGTTGTAAGGCAGCCATCTGTCTCTCTAGTGTTTTGTATGCGGTTCTCGTGATCCGCGGAGTTCAGTTCAGTGTGTTGCAAGCGTGCCGATACACCATTGATTTCCTCCCGGAACTGCCCGATGGTTGCAATGTTCCGGCGTAGCTCATCTAATAGGCTCCGCAGGGTGTCCTCCGTGACAGGAGGCTTTGCAGCCGGTGAGGGCTTTGGGGGTACAGGTCTGGTAGGTACATTAGTGTAGTAGTCCTCCCCATCAGCCAAGATCTTGTCACTGGAGGATATTCCATTGGACATTGGCGCCATTTCGGGCCGTCCAGATGCTTGCGGCCTTCTCAGGAGTTCGCCGATATCGGCCGTTGCGGGGGGTCGTTCAGCTTTGTATTTCTTGGTGCGTCGCCCCATGCCTTCAGTGTGGTAAGTAGCCCCTTTATGCAAGGTTTTGCGAGGAAATTCCCGAGGAAAATGCTGATTTTGTCGTTTGTGCTCGGAGCTCGAGGAAGATGCGTCCTCATAGTATGGCTGCTGGCTCCGCCTCCCTTTCTTTTGTTTTTAATCTAACCAATCCTTGTTTTACTTTCTGTTTCTCATTTATGTTTCTAAAAAAAAGTTTTGTCCCCTTTTTTTACTGACTGTGCTATTTTATCTTCTGTATGTGATTTTTGAAGCTCTTATAACTTGCTTGGCGTCTTTCTGCCTAATCTTATAGATCATTCTGTCTTCCTCACTCTGTTTTTTTTTTTTATAATTACTAAATGCTAACTTTGTATTTTTTTTACTATTTTGGCCACATCTGCAGAGTACCACAGTGGTTTCTTGATTTTTTTTTTTTGCATTTACTGACAAGCCTAATGCAATTTTCTGTTGCCTTCAGCAGTGCAACTTTTAAATAACCCCATTTCTCGTGGACTCCATTTAAATTGCTCCAGTCTGATAATGACTCCTTTACACATATTCTAATGTTAGAAAAGTTTGTTTTTCTAAAGTCTATCACTTTTGTTTTTGTGTGGTGTGACTCAGTCACTGTTCTTATATTAAACCAGACTCACTGATGATCACTGGATCCTAAACTTTCACCTGCAGTAATATCTGATATCAAATCTCCATTTGTTAACACTAAATCTAGTATGGCCTCTTTACGAGTTGGCTCCTCAACAACTTGTTTTAGAGACAATCCTGGTAGGGAGTTTAAAATATGTGTGCTCCTGGCACAAGCAGCTATTTTGGTTTTTCAATTCACATCAGGAAGATTAAAGTCACCCATGATGATAACTTCCCCCTTTATTGTCATTTTAGCTATTTGCTCAACTAATAGATTATCTAACTGTTCTATGTGTCCTGGGGGCCTATAAATCATACCTACACAAGTTACTGTGTGATTACCAAATTCTAACGTAACCCAAACGAACACGATGTTCGCCTCACTAACTTTTATTAGGCTAGATTTTATGCTATACTTAACATAGAGGGCCACCTCTCCCCCTTTCTTGCCTTGCCTGTCTTTTCTATATAAAGAGTACCCTGGTATTGCTATGTCCCAGTCATTTTTCTCATTATACCATGTCTCAGTAACGGTGACTAAATCTACATTCTCAGTTGCCAATATTGCCACAAGTTCATGGATCTTATTCCCTAAACTGCACGCATTTGTAGACATGACTCTAAGCTTAGCATTTTTTTAATACACTTGCTACAGGCACCTTCTGTCCTTGTTTTGGGGGTCAATTGGATTGATGTTTTATTACCCTTTTGCCCCCCGTCCTAGTTTAAATACATCCTAGCAAAACCTCTGAACTGCTCACTGAGAACATTTGTTCCCTTTTGAGAAAGACGCAAACCATGTTTTTTGTACAGTTTATTTCCATTCTAAACAGAGCTACCATGAGAAATAAAGCTAAGTCCTTGCTCCTGACACCATTCACCAAGCCACAAATCCCTAATATGTATCCGCCTGTCGTTCTGAGTGTTATGCACAAGCAGAACTTCAGAGAATGACAGTTTGGAAGCAACCTGCAGTATATCATTTGCAAAAACACTAAAAACTTCCTCTCCCTCTAAAACTCATTGCAAGCCAACTCATTTGTCCCTAGATGGACAAGTACATCCAATTCCCCTTCCTGCTTTGCTCATTTAACAATATTACAAATACGTTTCCTGTATCTGTGAGGAAAAGACCACTATTTTCCAGCTCCACATCTCTTATGATAGAAACCCCAAGAACAACAACTGCTTTCTATTAGGCCTCACCATAGTCTCCAAGCCTGTCTCCACAACACCACTATACTTGGTGCCTGAGCCTGTCTCCACAACACCACTACACTCAGTGCCCGAGCCTGTCTCCATAACACCGCTACACTTGGTGCCTGGGCCTGTCTCCATAACACCATTACACTCTGAAAGTGCTGAAAATGAATTATGTAGAGCAACAGACTGTGCAATATGCCTTTTATCCACAAAGTCTACCAGATCCTGCAGTAAGCAATCTGCCATTCATAGTACCTCTCTGCGGCAGTGGCTCTGCGGCAGTTCCAGCCTGAGTTTTTTTTACCAGATAATTTACAAATCTCAGACTTCAAAAATACAATCTTCTGCCACAATATAGAACTGTCTACAGATTAGACAGCATCCAAATCTCCAAAAAGTGGAACACGGAATTATTACACCGAACTAAGTCTGCCATTTTAATGAGGTGAATAATTTAAATCAAAAATATCTGAAATGTTTTAATTTTTTTTTGTCCTCCTGTATACCTCAGATTACCTACAGTTTATCTCCAATCACAGACTTTGAAGCAGCACTCTCCAGAATATCTCCAATCACACACTTTGAAGCAGCACTTTTAAGTAGCAACCAAGCTATATTAGCCAAGCTAATGACCACAACCCTTATATAACTTACCACACACTAGGAATGTTTAACACCTGGGTAGGCCTATGCTTATTTGCAAACACTTGCTAATTAACCAACAATCAATAGCAAGCACCTAGCTAACCAAATCAAATGCCTTACCAATTACCAACAGGAAATCAAACCTTGTGCAATCAGTAACCTTTTCCTATAGATGAATCTTACCTGTAACAGTAAAAAAAAAGACTTAGCAAAATCTTAGACAGTTGAAGATTCTGTAAAACTCTCCAGAATATCTCCAACCACTAGATTAAACTGTTGTAGCAGCAAACAAGGAGCAATCTCCACATCTGTATTCATTATTGTGAAATTAGAAAGTTAAAGACCCCAGATGATGACTGATTCACTTTTAGTGTGGAGGCCTGGGGTACGGAGAAAAGGTAATTTTTACTTACCTGAACCGGTCCCTTGCACATATGCAAGAGTACAATGAGATCTCTTGGGGATCCTGTGATACTACAGGATTATCTATAGAAAAATGCTTTTTCTTTCTAGTGAATCATAACTACTGATTACTAGGCAGTGGCAGTTATTGGTAACATTTTCCTGGTGTGCTGCCTTTGAGAAATCCACAGAAGTGCTTGCCCTTGGTCACCTCTAAATGAGGCTGGCTAGAGCGGCTATAAGGCCATTACACCATTCTGGCATGTCACTTTTCCCATCATGAAACTCTATTACTCTCTTCTCTTATCCTGATCATGCATTGGCAGATATGCACTACATGGTTATTTTATTATGATTATTATTATTATTATTGGTATTTATATAGCGCCAGCTTATTCCGCAGCGCTTTACAAAAAGGGGAATTTACCATATGAGACAATAACAAAATGTAACAGGAACAATAGGTAGTTGAGGACCCTGCTTATTTATATAGTTCATGATTTATTTTACATTCTGTTTAGATCTAATACAATTATTAGTACTGTGTTTATTTCATTTTCTAGTTTGTTATCCCCCTCCATCTTCTGGCCCTCACTGAAACTTGGCTCTCCCCCTATTACAGTGCTATCCCTGCCTCCCTGTCTTAAGTAGATGGCGGTGTGAGTCTCCTTCTTTCACCTTGTTGTATCTTTTAGCTTCTCCCTGGGACCTTTTCTCTTCTCGATTTACACTGCCTCACTTGGTGGGCTGATATCATCCTATGACATTCAATATCACCCTTACACTAATGATACCCATATCTTCATCACCTTACCTGACCTTTCTTCTCATCTGTTGGATTTTGTCACTGATTGCCTATACTCTGTTTCTGACTAGATGACTTTGTGATTCGTAAAACTCAAGTTTTCCAGGACTCAAGTTTTCCCTTGTCTTTTCTCTCTCTAAAGCTGTGTATGTGCTTTTTCCCCTTAAGGTTAACGGAGCTGTCATAACCTCTCCCTGCATATGCTTTGCCTCAGTGAGCTCTCCTGCCCTGACCTTTCCTTCATCCTTGAATTGAAATAACCAAGTCATTTTGCTTTCACTTTTAAAATATTTCCTACATGTGCCCCTTTCCCACTCAGGATGCAACTAAAACGCTTGACCATGCATTTCTTGGATCCTGTCCAGATTGCCCCAGATGTGCAGATATTGCCTCTCTGTCTCTTCCAAACTCTTTCTTGAGTCAAGCAACTTTTTCATTTCTCACCCCAATTTCATTCTCTACACTGCTTCATTTAAGATTTTTAAGTTACTGTTCTTACTTAAAAAAAGCTCTCTTAACCGATTGCCCTGCTTACATCTTTTACCTCATTAGCAGATGAGCAACTCTTTGTTCCACCAATGACCTGTTACTGTACCATTCTTGCACCCACACCCTAGACTCTATAGATCTTCTCCATAGTGCTCCCTTATAAAATGCCCTCCTGTGGCCATTCTCCACAACTCAGCAGTCCTTCAAAAATCCCTAAAAACATACTTCTTTAGAGAGGCCTGTCAGCTCTCTCCTTAACTCACCATCCCATTCAATCTGTCTCTGCCATTTCTCATATACTGTGCTCCCTCATCCAAAACACCCCTCCCATCCTCATATATTTAGATCACTTAGTTCCCTTATTTTCTTTTGTGTATTTGTCCCTCATTCTTCATAAACTCATTAAGTCATGCATGTTTGCTATAATTAAATGTTTGTCTTGTTTAGCTGAAAAAATTAATAAATAATTATTAATACTACATGTAAAGACTTATTCGGATGACCTGTTATGACTCTGGATGAACAGTGATAAAGAAGCATTACGGTCTGGCTGTATTAGTTTTAGCAGCCTGTAAGATTGTGTGATTTTATTTACTGACATCTGAATCATATTACAGTCACACAGGGAACCAAAAAAGGTTGCCTCTCTAAAAATGAATTGCCTACTTAGCATTCATGTCTTCCATCTCAAGTTCTGACGCACTGACCTTAGCTTAAAGTCCAGAATATTTCCAGCTAGCAAAAAATGATGGCCTTTGTTTTTTTTTTGTTTTTTTAAATGTTTGCCATGATAGATTGCTCATAAATTCTTGTCAGCCGC